GTGTGTGTGTGTGTGTGTGTGTGTGTGTGTGTGTATATGTATATATTTGTATTGTATATGTATATTTATGTAAGTGCACACTTTGAATACCTCTATTTCCTTCAACTATCCTACAATAGGCCTGCTGGAAGAAATTTCATCATGGAATAGGCAGTGCCTTTGTACATAATTATGTTTTTACCATTTTCCTATCGAATTATGTGTGTATATAAACTGTTAAATAAATAAATAAATATTTCCTCATTAGTCCATGTCGCCATGTTGAAACAATTTTATTAAGCCGACACTACAGTCTACTTCGACGCGTAACTATGAACTGAACACTCGGCCAACGTGTGAACACTGTTTGCGGCTTGCGCCAAATTCCTTTTGGCTCCAGTACACGTTGGCCGAGTGCACTCGGCGAGCGCGCTCGGCCAACGTGTACTGGAGCCAAAAGGAATTTGGCGCAAGCCGCAAACAGTGTTCACACGTTGGCCGAGTGTTCAGTTCATAGTAAGTAACTTGCCGAACTGTATTAAATAATACATGTTTAGTTGCGATTTCAGAGTACCTACCTAATGATAAATATTATTATAAATTATCTCTGCGTTTATGTTGCTCAGGGATAATGTAGCTTAGGGGCTTCTTTTGGGCTATCATTTATTTTGAAAAAACCCCCAGCGAAGCGGGCACGGGTCAGCTAGTAGATCCTATAAAGGTTCCTTTTTTCCTTTTGAGGTCGGAACCCTAAAAAGGACAAACTTGGATTATTGTTGTATGTGTAGTTTTTTTTTCATTGGCTCTGAGAAGAGTGAACCGCTGTATAAGTATATGACAGCGGCCGCGATTGCCCTTACGTCCATCATCATCTAGCTACCAACGCAGAATGAAACACGCCAACGTGTGAACGGCACCACGAAAATCTGCCGAGTGCGCTCGCCAAGCGCGCTCGGCCAACGTGTACTGGAGCCATGAGATATCAATGGGTATGCGGGGATAGCGGGGCGAGGGGAGGGTATTGTTTTGTCTGATCAGGCGATCTCGATAGTGCCGCGTTAACTGTCAGTGTGTATGCACGTCGCTGTTGTTCAAAATGGCTACCGAATCACGCATCGCGCTTATGAAAGAGCGATTTTAAAGTACTTTAGCATCATTAAGAACGTTAACAAACGCTAAGAACACCGCTTATATTGAAGAAGAACGTTATAAAGAGTTAATTGAAGAAGTTTCCACGGCAAAAATAATAGGGAGTCACTACAAAAACATAACACGTAAGGATATAGAAACGTATCTTGAACTTTGTGAACCCTGTCAACAAAAGCAAAAAAACATCAAAAAAGGCATTCTTGTAAAGCCTATTATATCGTCAGAGTTTGACTTTAGATGCCAAATGGATCTGATAGATTTTCAGTCCCAGCCCGACGGTGATACAAATTTATAAAGGTGTATCAAGATCATTTAACAAAATTTGTTGTTTTAAAACCACTTAAAACAAATCGAGCTGAGGAAGTGGCTCACACTTGATTGGACATATTTACTCTACTTGGTGCTCCTGCAATACTTCAGTCTGATAACGGCAGAGAATTTTACAACCGAATTATTGAGAATTTAAAAACATATTGGCCTACTTTAAAAATTATTCATGGTAAACCCAGGCATTCGCAAAGTCAGGGGAGTGTGGAAAGAGCAAATCAAGATATTGAAAATACGTTGACCACGTGGATGCAAGACAATAATAATTCACATTGGAGTGAGGGTTCGAGATTTGTACAACTCATGAAAAACAGAGCTTTTCACGTTGGTTTACAGTTACCCAATGATTTCACGCAAAATGTAGAAACTGAAAAAGATTTGGAGAAAATTATACAGGACCTTACCAAAAAGGAAGAAGATCCCGAAGTCACTGCATGTGAATTCTCTAAGGTGAATACGGAGGCAAGTCAAGTTTCTAATAACGATTCAGATCAACGCGAAACAAATACGCAACCTCCAGCTTGCACCCTCCAATGCAGCGTCTGTTCACAAGAAATTACAGAGGCTCATACATGTAGAGAATGTGGATGTGCAATCCACGCTATTTGCGCTGTTGCTGAAGAATCATCTGATGAAGGATTTGGATCTAAAGTTTTGTGTCTATTATGTTCAAAATATCTTGTATAAAGTACAAGATAATCGTCAAAGTGCTAAGAAAAACCTACAACAACAGGTTGAAAAAATGCTGAAATTTAGTTGTTCGCGCCAAACGCTAATTTCAAGAATCGACGCCAGAGGGCGCTCAGCGCGGTGATTTCCTACCGGTTTTGACGTTCGTGTGAGATCGAATTGGTTGCTAGCGGGGCGGTTCGGAAGTGATGATTGTAGTGCAGTCAATAGCACGGCGTGGTCTCGTCCCGTATGACCTCCATATAGTGTCGGGTTTTGTTAGCAAGTTTTTATGCACCGACGAGGAGTTAATTGTTTTGGTAGTTAACATTGATTGCGATCAACGTCTCAATTTGAGTGTTGTGCGCGCCTAATTTACTATTGAATATTTGGTTTTCGTGTAGACCGCATCGAATTTGGTTTTTCTAATTTGTACGTTTCGTGACAAGAGGCTTGTATTGAATTTGAGTGATTAAAGTAACTTCTTTTGCACGTAATTTACGTCAATTTGTATAGTGATTGCGTATATAAGTGCATTTGACAATATTAATTTGCTCGTGTGGCATTTGATATAGTTCGGAGACATTTTCCGTTGTCGGTTTAAACGCTGAACTTTGTCACTCGAGAGTAGACCGCGGGTGCTCGATTATAATTTTGTTGCTAAATGAACATAACATTGAACTTTGAACGACGGTTCGTTACTTGTGTCGTGTGTCACGTGTTTGATTTCGATGAACGTTGAATTGGTTGACCTTGAATTTAATTATATGTACAATAAAGTTGATAGACTGAAATAGTGAAAGGAGTGCAGAAATTTTCCATGGGTGATCCACGACTGGAGGGAGCGCGCATTTGGAGAACATCAGCTCCGGTGGATTTTCTGTCCGATTGAATCGGACCGTCAGGTCACCTATATAAACATTACTACATACTACTTTACATGCACCCCACTTATCACCTGACTGGTCCCCTGTGATCGGCCCTACCTCCTGAAATAGGTAAGTGCTTGCTTATTTGTCAGCCGTTTTTTGTACGTTTATCCATAGGCCGTTGGGCCTCGTTCTCTGTTGCCCGTCTATTGGATTACTGATGGGCCCTAGTCCAGTAAACTTTTGTCGGGGCAGCTCAGGGCGTGAACACTAGTGAAAAGAAGTTTGCTCCTGTACCTATTGCACTACGGTCAGTTGCTAACCTACAATCCACTGGAACCGGCCAGGGATTTAAAAAGTGCCATTGCAAGAAAAACTGTACTGCAGCAAGATGTTTGTGCTATAATAAATAAATTATTGTGTACTTCCAAGTGCCATTCCGGCTTACCCTGCAAAAATAAATAACCATATGGACTGACTCGTTATATAATATACAGACTTACTTTAATATTGTGACATTTATAATTAGTTAAATAACAGACTAATTACTTACCCAAAGAAAGTTTGACTTTATGAGAATAATATAAGTCGATTTTGTGATAAATACATTTCAAAAGTTTCTAGATACTTGATTTTCAAAGCTTTAACCAGTAAGATAATATTAAGATTATTATATTTTACGAAATGACTGTTACCTGAACGCTGTTGTCTCAACGAGTGCTTTAATAAAAATTATTATTCTCATTTTAACAACGTGTTTTATTACAGAAATCGTTATAGTTATACATTTCCTAATACGATATTGGAATTATATACAATTCCTAGGACATTTATGTATTAAATAGTTTTTGAAACAATATTTTATACATTTCCTAAATAGCTTCGGAATTTTATAAATTTCCTAGGATTTGTATACAATTCCTAGATTTCATACATTTCCGGTAACATATATAATAATGGTGACAAACGAGCACTATTGTTCACGTGATAGTAATTGGATTTTTTTATAGAATAAAGGTGACAAGCAAGCACACAATCCACCTGATGGTAAGTGGTTGCTGTGGCCCATAGACATCTACATTTATCCTCGATTACGAATCAAGATGAAGATGCGTTGACACCCGTGAGGACTAAGATGGAACGTCTCGTTTCCAGTAAAAAGGGTCTCCGGTTCTCTACACTCACCACACGAAACACAGCAATATTAAGCTGCTATTTTACGCTGGTATTCTGTGAGAACGTGGTCCATCCCCGGTCCAGCCGACCCATTCGTGCTGCAACTATACAACTAATATAGCTGCAGCATGGCTCTACTACGTACCAAAAAAAAAATTGGCCTATAGACATCGACATTTATCCTCAAGAATCAAAATGTAGATACTTTGTCACTGTTGAGGACAATGACGGAATGCCTTTCAAATAAAAAGGGTTCTCTTCACTCACCATACGGAACACGGCAGCTGCTATTTCACGCTGATATTTTGTGAGAGCGAGGTTTTTCGGTCGAGGCGACCCACTCGTGCTACAACCATAATGTAGCTGCAGTGTGGCTCTACCATGTTTATTCATTACTGCTCATCAAAATTTTATTACTGAACATAGACCTCCTCCATAGATTGCGTCATAGGGGGAATTAAGTATGCCATAGTTGCAGGCGTTAGCAGGAAGATGGTGCTGTTCATCTCTTGTTTCGGTTTTTCCTCTGTCACCCGAGGGATAATAATATAGAGCAATAAATGATAAATGATTGAAAATATTACTCTTACAACTGTTTCCGTAAAAGCTTCTGCCTTTTTTAAATAATAATTTAAATTGTTATGAAAATGTAATAAAAAAAATCTATTATGCACGCACGCACGCACGCACAGTTCGTTCCGTCTTCACAATCCGTGCCCTACTGATCTCATTCATTCAACCTCCACTCTTTTACATACTTTGTTCCATGCTGGCTTCTAACTCTCCAAATAGAGGAAGAATCATCTCTTTCTCTCGTCTTCTAAATTTAAATTAGTTCTTACTTTCATCATCGGGTGTGGCGGGTTCAGGCGCGCTGGCTGTAGCGTATGGATTGTTTGTGGGCTGAAATAAAGTAATTTAAAGTAGTTGTCTTCTCTACTATATTATATTATTCAGTTTAGTTATTATAAATAATGAAAAGTGTTTACTTACAGTAGCAGGATAAGGTACATCAGCACCAGGCGGTAGTGATGGTATTGGGAAAGCTTTAGTATCACCTTGTGCAATAAAACCAAAGGTTCCTGTCTTCAGTGAGATACTACTCCCGGTTAAAACTGGGCTGCGATTGATTCCCGGAGGATACTGGACATTGGCTTGATTGGGACTACCGGGGTAAGGGCTGACGTTAGGGTTTGGCAATGGATTTTGTGCCGGATAAGGTGAACTGTTAGGTGGATAAGGAGCCAAGTTTTGATTTGGAGTCAAGTTGAATGCGGGATAAGGTGGGTTAACCGGACTAGGTGAAGTGGGATGTGATGTATTTGTACTAGGTATAATTGCACCTGGATATGGTGAATTGTTCATTTGCGGATTTAAGGTATAAGGCGAAGTTGCGCCAGGATAAGGAGCGATCGCACCCGGATAAGGTTGGTTTACATTGGGGTAAGATGGAATTACACCTGGATGAGGTTGGTTTGTGTCAGGATATGGTGAGTTTTGAGACGGATACGTGGAGTTTTCACCAGGATAAGGTGAATTTTCAACGGGGTAAGGGTTCGGTGGATAAGGGCTCGCGGGAAACATAGATTGATTTAAGATCGGCATTTGGTCTTGTAGAGGATTCGGGACGTTGTCCTGTTGCCAGACCATCGGGATCGTGCCGATAACAATACGCCTCTTATCATCACTGTCCTTGTGGCATCCATTAGGACTAACAGTCACCTAAGAAAGGAAGATTACAACCATTAACATCTAATAAACCATTTAAAAATATTTTCGTTAGTAAATAAAGCAGGGAAGGAGCAGGGAAAAGCCTGCCACGCAATGATTTTGTAATGAATTTAAGAACTCTTGTTTTTTTTATCAACTCTCGCCAAACAGACAGAAGTAGTGGTGATGATGATGAAAATGATGGAAGTAATGCAAACCATTATGTCTTTTATCACTAAAAATACTGAATTTATAGTTACGGTGCTGCCTAATAAAATATCACATACCTTAAACTCATAGTATACATCAATGTACCGACAGGATCCCATGTTGTACACATCTATAGCAGGCACCTCCATATCCACCATCCAGGTTCTGGTGGTCCCTCCGGGGATAGGACCCTTTTTGATCTCTGCTATTGTGTCCGATTCGTGCCTAGTGTCCGGGTTTACAGATGCATGAAAAGTTACTTTCTGTAAAGAGAAATATAAATACATTCCTTACTTGGGTAACTTGATGATTTTTTCATCAAGTTACCCAAGTCTGAAAAGTCAGAAAGGACCAGAGGAATAAAAGTATGGAAGGAACCAATGTAAAATAAATATATATTCTCTACACTCACCATACAAAACACAGCAGCGTTAAACTGCTATTTTACGCTGGTTTTCTGTGAGAGCGTGGTCCTTCCCCGGTCGAGCCGACCCATTCATGCTACAACTATACCACTAATATAGCTGCAGCACGGTGCTACCACGTTTAATAAAGATAGTAAAATGTTAGCCATTTTTCCATGTTTGACAATCATTATGGTCACCAAAGTAATAGTTTGTGTTACCAGTTATTTTGGACCTGGAACGGTTGTAAAGACAGGCAACAGGTAAAGCCAATTTTTATTATTGCTCCTTCAGTGTTTCAGTGTTTCTCCGATATTGGATTGAGCTCTTCCTATACACACAACAAATAACAAAAACCATGTGGTTCCCGTTAAATGCGTTATCAGAATCAGTATTCAAACATATAGAAATAACTTCGCTACAAAAAACTCGAACATAAAGAAATTAATATAATTTAAATAAATTTTTATTTCTAATTGAAGGTGTTAGAACTTAATTTGCTTATTTCCACCTAATGAAATAAAATGTGTCCTGCTTTTGCCCAGTTTGAAAAGGACCCTACGCTCTCTCAATAAGATCACGTTAGTGGTCGTCCACAGCAGTCTACTTCACCTGAGGATGCCATGTGTAGAGGCGAAACACGTGTTGCATTATCAAGGCTAGTGTGTCGTTCCTAGTGTGGTGGTGCTGTGATTGGTGGTGACAGGGATAGTGCATGTCGTCTACATATCGATAGTAATATAAGATATTTTGATTGACAACTATATGTTGTTTTACGAAATTATCCATGAAAATATCCGCCATAAGGGGACTTAGAGGGGACCCCATAGCTAACCCTTCTTTTTGTAGATAGAAACGGATATTAAACCGGAAATAGTTTTGTTTCATACAGAGAGAGGTTAAGTTAAGAAGATCGTTTGTTTCCCCGGGATGTAGACGACGTTTTTCAAAGAGATCTGCGAGTATACGCAAACAGTCAGGGGATGAGACATTTGTGAAATGATTATCAACGTCTAACGATAACAATATGGATTTAGGAGGAATACGAATATCTTTAATTTTGGAAATGAGATCTAAGCCATTTTTTAGGCTGTAAGTGGGGTTGAATCCAGATTTCTCTCGAAGGAGGAAGTTTAATTTTTTAGCAAGGAAATAAGCTGGTGCACCAATATATGAGACAACTGGACGAATAGGAACATGTTCTTTATGTATTTTGGTAACCCATATAAAATGGGTGCTTGAGGATTCATTGGAACAAGATTGCTCCGAGACATGTTGTGATCGGGAAAAACATATGATGACTGTTGTATACATAACTTAATATCCGAAGTAAACTTTTTGGTTGGGTCAGACTCCAATAGCTCAAAGTCATCACCTTGGATAACATCGTTAACTATCTGGCTGTACCCACTACTCTCCATAATAACAACAGTATTGCCTTTATCGGCTTTAGTAACAATAAGGTCGTTTTCCCTTATTCTCTGCTTTAGGGACTTAAAAACAGGGAACTCAGGATTGAAATGGGAAGACGCGGGCACAGCCCGAATTTCATTTGCTACCAACTTTTAACGATGAGGAGGGCGGGAGGTGCTCTTCATACTAGGTAAGATACATCATTTTATTTTATAACGCGGATATTTGCGAAGTAAAAAAATTTTCTAAAAGCTTTGTTGGTGTATTCATGGTTGATATTAAGCATAGCTTACAAGAATAAAAATCAATAATAAAAATTAAAAATAGAAAGTTTACCTTTTTAATGGAGAGTATGATATCAATCTTAACCTTGCCCTGATTTGAACAGTTCACCTCAATGGGTATAAGCTGTCCAGGGCAGTACCCAGACACAGGCAGTTTAACAACGGTCTCACTGGAACCATATCTCATGCAGCAGCAGCAATAAGTGTCTTCTATATCAAACTGCATCGGTTCCTGAAGACAAATGATATGATTCATCATTATCATCATCGTTACAGCCCTTCACAAGTCCACTACTGAACATAGGCCTCCTCCAAGGAATGCCACAAAACACGTTCCCGAGCCACCTACATACATGGACTTTCTGCATGCCTTACAAGGTCGTCACTCCACCTAATTGGGGGGCGCCCTACACTTTGCCTGCCGGTACGAGGTTGCCACTCGAAAACCTTTCTTCCCCATCGTTTGTCGGTAATGCGAACAATGTGTCCGGCCCATTGCCACGTCAGCTTACTAATACTTTGGGCTATGTCGGTTACTCTGGTTCTACTGCGGATATCCTCGTTTTTAAGTCTATCACGCAGAGAAACCCCGACCATAGCCCTCTCCATATCTCGCTGAGCGACCTTGAGCAACCTCATACGGCCAGCAGTGGAGGACTACTTCTTAGATACATAGGTCATCACTGGCAACACGCACTGGTTATACAATCTAGTTTTGAGGTATGCCTGATGAGAAGATGTGTCGTAATCTTCCGAACGCTGCTGAAGTTGGACTTATCTAGTCGGACTATATTTGTCCCAGGTAAACACATTCGTTAACAACTTCGAGCTTAATGCTCCCAACTAATACCGGCATAGGTGTAATATGGACGTTAAACATTTTTGTTTTGTCCATGTTCATCTTAAGATCTATCTGTTGGGAGACACTATTAAGGTCATTAAGCATAGTGCTTAGGTCCTCTAGCAATTCTGCTATAAGGACAATATCGTCGGCAAATCGAAGGAGAGTAATGTACTTGCCATTGACGTTAATACCGTATCCTTTCCAGTCCAGTAGCTTGAAAACGTTCTCCAATGCAGCGGTGAAGAGTTTCGCGGATATAACGTCACCCTGTCTTACGCCTCTCTGCAGTTGGATAGGTTTCGTACTCTGGTTCTGTACTCGGATAGCCATCGTAGCCCTATCGTACAAACACTGAAGGGACAGCACCGCCCAAATTTCGACGGATTCAAAGGCTTTCTCATAGTCCACATACGCCAGACATAGTGGTAAATTGTACTCCTCGGACTTCTGTACAATTTGTCGAAGTGTATGTATGTGGTCTATGGTGCTAAAGCCTTTTCGGAAACCGGCTTGTTCGGGAGGCTGGAAGTCGTCGAGTATGCATGCCAGACAATTCGTAATGACTCTCGAAAACAGCACGTAACTCAGAAGGGAAATCGGTCTGTAGTTCTTCAAAAGAGCATTGTCGCCTTTCTTGAAGAACAAGACCATCGCACTTCTGCTCCACGCCTCCGGAGTAGTGCCACCATGGAGGACGGAATTAAAGACCTTCTGAAGGAAATTAAGTACCGGTTTTCCACCCGCTTTCAGAAGCTCCACTTTAATTCCATCTTTGCCCGGGGATTTGCCGTTTTTAAGGTGCTGGAGAGCCATTCTAATCTCGCTCAGACTGACGTCCGAAATATCTTCGGAATTAAACATAACATAACATAACATCTTCGGAATTGTGTCGTATAAGACTTGCTCTTGGATCGTTACTCACACTTTACATGTTGACATGATCACTGAACGATGTGCCGAGGTTGGTGTTTAAACCTGTATGACCTTCAGCGAATACCGTTTGGTGATTCTGAGTATAAGGTACGCAATCCTCGTCAACACATTCCCAATCTTTACAACGTTGTTAACAAGAGACTAGTGGACGATAAATCCTTGGGACAGATGTTTGACCTTCCAGTGATAGAACAAGTTGCCGGATTCGAGGATTACCCTGTTCTCCCCCTCTCTTCGGACCTCGGATAATTCTATAACATTCCAGGGCAACTTGTCTATCTCTTCTTCCAGCTCCAGGATCTTCTCGTCAGTCGTCAGTGTGCATGCATTATATGTTGCCAGGTCGAGTCATCGTAGGTGGCAACCGAACCTCCACCTGAGATTCTTACCACCCTTGCCCCACCATTACCATGGTCGCCACCGTAGCCAGGAATAGCAGGGACATTGGGGGCCGTTTATTTGTGTTGTTGCTCACGGGGGGTATATTGCCATAGTTGCCACGCTTGGCGAGCGAGTTGGCAACCGCAGATTTTTGTCGCATTTGTTGTTATGTTATGCTGTTCTTCTGCCTCAGTTTCCATCTGTCGCCTCTTACGACACACAGGGGACGATATGGGGTAGTGGGTATCCTTACCCGCTACTACACGGGGTGAATGATATGATTTACTAACATTTTTTTTTGCCCAACTGCCTTAAAACACCTGCTTCTATCTTGAATGTTTGACAATCCATCACAACACCTATTTTTACGCCAATACAGTTATAAACACAATCATAGAAGTTAAGTCTACCTCTACCTAACGGCAGACCAACGGCCACCTGCAGGGAATTCAGAATCAGGGTCCAATTTACTACAAGATTTAAATAAAGGTATTACTTTACAATATTTCATTAAATCAGGAAACACACCAGAATCAATACAAGTATTTAAAATAATAGCAAGATGAGGTGCAATTAAATCTATTATGGACGCAATAACTGTACCGTGCTCCAAAAATCTGCGGTTTTCTTTACAATGGTTTTGAAGTATTTTACAATATCTTGCGGTAATGCTTCAAATAAAAAAAAAATCAGTGAAATATTTCGCAAACACCGCTGCAACTTCTTGATTTGATTTAGTCAATTCATTGTTAATTTTCAATTGATAGTTTGAGTTACGAGATTTATCTTTACCGGTTTCGCTGTTAATTACACTCCATGTCATTTTAATTTTATTCTTCATTAGCAACAAAATGAACACGGCTGTCTTCATATTGTTGCTAATATGTAAAGATTTGGTTGTGGAACAAAATCTTTTAAATATATAAAAAAAAATTGACATATTCTATAAAAGCATCGGAAAGATCATATGATCTTTCTTGGTAAAGTTCACAATATAACCTTCATCTGCTTTTATGAATTCCTACTACCGCCCACTCATTAAATACCCTGCGACTGTTTCTGTGAGAGCGTGGTCATTCCCCAGTCGAGCCGACCCATTCGTGCTACAACTATACTACTAATATAGCTGCAGCATGGCTCTACCACGTCTAAAGTTTGATTTGAAGATTTTTTTTAGACATTCATGGGACGAAGTGGGGTGGTGAATATTTTTACATTGTAACAGCAAATTTTATCTCAGCACTTAACCGGCCATGCTTTTTTATCGATATAATTTTCTTGGCTTTAATTTTCGTGGTAGCTGGCGCAAATACCAACTGCTTATGATAAATAAAAAAATAAAGGAGGCATGTTAGTAGTAACCAAATTAAATATTTAATTTTGTACAACACCTACCTTACAATATGGTTCCACATTCAGATCTAATGGAGCGATAACCCGTATACTCATTTTTTTCTCTTGATCTAACTTAAAAGCTCTATCAACTACAATCTTAATCTCGTAGCGAACATGCCCAAAACTGCCTTCAAAAGATGATGGGCAGTTAGCAGGAATTGGACAATCAAACGGAAGTTCGTGTTTACCAGGCTGAAGGTGGTACTCACCTGGATAAATTAAAATAACTTTAACATGGTTTTTGGTAAGGTTAGGTATTTCCGTCGGATACAAATTTTTAAATGGCACAAATGCTTTTAAAATAGTGCCCAACTGAATGTCAGTTTTGACTGAAGCTATACAAGAAGCCTGCAGTTAGGTCAGGGGCTTTGCTGTAAATTTCACAGTATGAGAGCAACCCGGGTTCGATCCCCACCAGCATCAACTGTTAATTGCAATCTTAAGTGCTGATTTACCACATGCCCGACGGTGAAAGAAAACGTCATGAGGAAACCAGCATGTCAGAGAAATAATTTTTTTTATTTCAAGACATGCCAATACACATTGGGCCAGCGCAGCAGACACTTCCTTGCCCTAAAACCATCTCAGAAATGAGATTAGGCCTTTGCCCAGTTGGGAAATATATAGGCGTAACTTGTAACTTTTATACAAGAAACCCATTATCCGGCTTTTGCTGTACCCATCGGTTAAAGCTTAAGCCAAAGGTTAATAATTATGCTAAATATTTTACCTAGCTCTGTAGACATTGACAAGACAATTCAAATTCTTTATTAATATTTTTTGTGACAAAATTATGATAATATTTGCAATTACGAGGGTGGATTGAAAAGTACTCGGCCTAACCAAGAAAATAAACAAATACTAAATCAGTTATATTTTTATTTTTCTACATAATCACCATTAAGTTCAATACACTTTTGCCACCTCCCCTTCCAAGCATTTAGACCGTTGAAAAAAAATGATTCTTTCTTAGAGTCAAAATATGCGTCTACAGCTGCTTTGACCTCGTCGTTTGTCGAAAATCTTTGACCTCCCAAGTGCTTTTTTAGGTTAGGGAACAGAAAGAAGTCTGATGGTGCCAGATCAGGTGAATACGGCGGATGCGGTAACAGTTCAAAGCCACAGTTGTGAATTTCAGCCATTGACTGTACTGACGTGTGAACACGGGCGTTATCTTGATGAAACAGGACTTTTCTTCTGAGCATTCCTCGACGTTTTTCTTTTATTTCCTCTCGTAAACGACGTAGTAAGGTGCAGTAGTAATCAGAGTTTATATTCTGACCCCTTTCAAGATAATCCATCATAATCACATCTTTCGAGTCCCAGAATACTGAAGCCATCACCTTATTTGCCGACAAAATCGACTTAGCCTTTTTAGGGGGTGGTGAACCAGGTCTTCTCCACTGTTTTGATTGTTTTGTTTCCGGTGTACAGTAATGAACCCATGTTTCGTCCATAGTAACAAAACGGTTCAAAAAATCATCTGCATCGGCTTCAAATAACTCCAAACAGTCGCGTGAAATAGTCAATCACGTCCTTTTTTGTTCAACTGAAAGCAGTCGCGGAACCCACCTCGCAGACACCTTGTGGAAACCCAACTCGTTGACAATGATGTTTTGAGTTCGTTCATAAGAGATGCCTATAATCTCGGCTATCTCTCTAATTTTTAATCTGCGGTCTCCCATTATTAAATCAAGCACTTTTTTAATATTTTCGTCAGTAGTTGACGTCGAAGGCCTTCCAGAGCGGGGTTCATCTTTCACACTCTCTCTACCACGCTTAAATTCTGCTATCCATTTTTTGACGGATGAATATGACAGAGCACAATCGCCTAATGTACTGACCATGTCATCATGGATGGCTTTTGATGATAGCCCCTTCTTATGGAGGTACTTAATGACGGCACGCTGCTCGATTTGCTACATTCGCGGAAATTATGTCCGATTACTTTGTTAATAAATTTATAAAATCACAACTAATTATCGCACACGTTTTGAACTTCACACAATGAACTAGTCTGAACTGAACTAAATAATGTGGGTAGATTTGATTTTTAGAATTGAATGAATCTGTGTTAGGCCGAGTACTTTTCAATCCACCCTCGTATAACCTTAGTTATAACCATAGTGGAAATATTTAGTGCTTGCTTTAAATTTCAACGGTTCCACGTCAGTACCAACGAAATTGTTGGCTGCAATTTAAAATGCTTATTTTTCACGTGCTTAACAAGTGAAGTAAGCGTAAGATAAACATTGTGAGGTAATCTACAAGTCTGAGAAATAAAGCAATTCAAGGACATGTAAAGTCTACCAACACATACTGAGCTGGCACAGAGGCACCTTAGTCCTCAATGGTGACAACTCATCTATTGCTTTCTTAATTTGAATTTGGCAGCAGTTGCAGATGTCCTTGGGCTGTAGTAGCCATCAAGTGAACTGTAAGTTGATTTGTCACATCAATTTTATAAGAGGAAATTAGGGTATTACTTGATCATTTTAAGGGGCTCTGGTGGGAAATGGAAGCACCATTTTATTGTTTTTTTGCTTCTCTTTCTAACAGCCTTTATTGATCCACTGTTAGCCTTTTTAAGAATGCACAAAATGGACTACATAATATTAATTGATTTTCCAAATCTCATCATACTGAGCAGTTTGGGGGACTAGTAAAAAAATATTGAAGAATAATAATAAATTTGATCTATTACTGTAAAACTCATTCCGATGTTAAACAAGTGCTAATATTAAAAAAAAATTGTACAACCTACATTCAGCATAAATTATTAAGGATAATTCAAAAACTACTGGTCAAACCTTGGTCAAATAAATATAGGTATATGGGATCACTTGAGAAAAAAGAATCATCAAAATCCGTTCACCTAGACAAAAGTTATGAGGTAACACACATAAAAAAACATACAGTCGAATTAAGTACCCGGTCCTTTAGAAGTCGGTTGAAAAGAGAGTTTTATTGATCATAATGCAATATATTCTAACTTTTCAGCTTGCCTTGATGTTTATATACAGCTATGAAAGAGAACACAGAGGGAATCTAATATAGCACTTGGAAAGTTAAAACAAAATTTAGCTTTTTATTACCATCTTCACTGCCTAGTAGATACACTTTCCTTCTAAAATACTCCTCATGGGACTCATGGGTTTTATGGTAGGTTACGTTACGGTTACCCTCTCTTCGAGTGTGGGATGTAGTCCAGTGCACTTTACAAAAACCTTTTACTTTAACGTATATACCTGAAAAGTTATAAAACAAAATTTTTTAAACCTCAATTACATAATTATTTTTAAATAATGAAAAAATATAGAAACGGTTGTTATTATACATTTGCTTAGAAATCAGTAAAAGGTATTAAAAAAATAAGGAAATTACTATCTTACCGCGAAAAGTTTTCACTTTGTCTTGTTGGAATACCAATTTGCCATAAATAGTTTGTCCGGCATAATAAGTTCCATTTTCACTATTCAAAATTATGCTGCCTTCATCAAACCCCATTATATGTGTTATTATAACTATAGGCCTTGGTGATAATGTAACAAACTAAATAAGCGGTAAGCGCACGAAATTCACAAAATATGAAAATTGTAAACAAAACATGTAATGGGGTGGGGCAAGAGTAATCACAGAACACTAATACCCTTAGGCGGGAAGAATGTCAACTTCAAACAAAGAAAATGGCACCCATAATGCACGCCATCTCTGTCGTGCCCCCTAAAACTTTTTGCGCGGGAATTTTGACACGTGATTTTTTTTTAGTTGTCGTCTTGGTTGTTTCGTTTCAAAAATGGCTTAAGAATGTAAAATACCATATAGATAGATATAGCTTGTAGTTTTTCGTTTCAATGATATATATTGCTAAATTAAAACGAAAACAAAAGCACAAAGTTATTTGTAAATTATGGTACTTTACATTCATAAACCACTTTTGAAACGATTAGCAATCATTTTAATATAAAAAAGGAACTATTTTTCAAATAAAAGTGGTTTTTGAAATACATAATTTTTATTTACATTACATACTTGTCTACATTGGTACATAGAAAAACCGTTGGTACATTGATGGACGTAAGTGACGGAGTAATTAACTAATTTTTAACATGGCATATGTAACATGACATTTAAGCAAAATGGAAAGTAAAGGTACATTGGTTTTATATAAAAAAGATTAGACAATCTAATATAAACACTTTTTTCTAACAAGAAAACATTATTTACCTTCACATTCTACAAACAAGACAATAGCTTTGCAATATTATGTCTAAACTCCAATAACCTGATTATATTATAGATGCCACCAATAATATTACATTTGTAGAAATTATTTTCGTTATGTTATTGTTATTGACTGCATTAAAAACTAATAAGTCAACATTTTCATGTCCTTAATTAGCACTCCTGCTGCAAATCCATCCACGAAAAACAAAAAGGATAAAGATATGTTGATAAAAATGAAATATCATCTGAGAAAAATTAACAGGCTTCAAAAAACTGTAAAGCATCTAAAGAATGAAGCATTTCTCAAAGTATTGAGCAAAAATGATTCCATAAATGAAATATTAAAATGTAAAATATCCCCCTCTTTTGCAAACTGCTCTTCAAAGAAAAACTGATATCCAGCAGAATAAATAAGATGTTACATGGATATATACGTAATTAACTAATTTTTAACTTTATGCATGTAAACAGTTCTGAACAGCTCTTAACTAAATATTGATTTAATAGTTAAGTAGTTATTATTATTTTTCGATAATACAGGTAGATGTCTAAGTGTCACAGCATTTACTTGCTAAATTCTATAAAAAATACAAATGTATGCGTTATCCATATCCCACAGTAAACTTAAAAGTTAGTTGCATAGCAATACGATTGTTTGTAGGGTGACTAATAAACTATCCGACATTAAACGATAAAAAGACTGTAAGGTATGATTCGCACCAGTAAAGTGATAGTTTCGAAAATACTATATTCGAAATCCAAAAGTGGCTCTATATGGCAAATATTTAAAAATAAAACTTAAATTTAAATCCTACCTGCCTCGCGGAAGCAAGGAATATCTGACCCACTCCGACTAAAACTCTCAGATGTTTCATCTTCACCACTTATCGGCAGGACTACGGGTACACTTTTACACACATCCGTAGCCTCATCAGCGCTAGTCACTCCTTGGCAGCCTCTCTCGAGAGAGGACAAATCCTCCCTCTCCTTTTATCTCCTTATATAATGTCACCACTGAAGTGATTATGACTGTACATACAGAAAAAGTAGTTCCATGTAATATCTTATTTATTCTGCAGGATATCAATTTTTCTTTCAAGAGCAGATGCAGAGTACTCTTCTGCAAATTGCCGATTTTTCAAAATACAAAATCTCTTCATACAAATGTGAAATACGCTATTAAATAAGTAATCTATATTCATATCTTTATGTTCTGGACATTCATCGAGAAACTCCCAATTTATTGAGTTTTTGAACAAAACTTTAATTGTCCCTTTTAATTTTTTTTTATATGCTTCTGCCTCAAAAAAATCATAAATCATCGTAGCACTACTTTCAATACAGTTAATGAGGTTTTTAGAGGCGTATTTAAGGGACTTTTTTAGATCACTATATTCTTTAAAGTCAATAAAAGTATGTGATCTCTCTTGTGTGTCAGATACAAAAATTTTTTTACAAATTTCACATTTGTTGAGATTATTTTTTACTATAAACCCACAGACATAGGCACATGCTTGTATTTCGCCACTGCTTTCTTCCAAGCTACATTCAAATGTAGAATTTACACTTTCTTCTAACTCATCGGTTAAAATTGTGGCATAAGCAGTGTGTGTGTCTGTGGGTGGAGACAATAAAGATTTAAAATTTGTCAATATAACTTGATTTTGGTCTTCTTCACAATTTCCTGTCCCAATAAAAGATAAGTTGCTAAGGACAGCCGTTTTAAGACCCGCAACAAACTGCCCAGCAGTGGGATTTGAATTGCAGCCGCAATTGGCCCGAATGCATCCAAAAAGATTTTCTAACGGGTCCTGCTGGAGCCTTCTTGTTTCCAAACTTTTTATTGATTTATGTTTAGAACTGAGATTTCTCCAAATTCGTTCTATTCCATTGATGGACCATATCCAACCTTCTTGGGATGGAGGAGCTCGTTTGCATCCCAAAAACGTCATTTCTTTAAAAAATTCTTCATTAAAGTGAAATGTGTGAGATGTGGTGTATTATTTGTCATGTTTGTCGAATATGGTTTCCCCCTTCTTATGTCTGGTGTGCATGCGTTGACACAATCAAACAGCTTGTCCATATTTGCAATAACATTAGCTGTAGTGACAGCCTCTGAAGAGAGTTCCCCTGTAAACAACACATAATTTAAGATCTTACTATTAGGATTAAAGAAACATGATTTAAAGTATGTTACAAGACAACTCAAAAATAATATCACATATCAGTATCACACAATAAACAATAATTTGTACTTGGGAGAGCCTAGTTCCTTTTTAAGTTAATAATTATTTTAATGGGTGGACATATGTTTAAATATTATACTTTAAATTATAAATTTAATTTACCTTGTGAAATTTTAGCATACATTCCTGCAGCAACTGAGTGGCTTAACACTTGTGCAGCTAGCTTCACCTTCATCTTCTGCTTCGTATTTGGATTTAAATGTTCTTGTTTTAAGCAAGGTGCAAACACAAAATTGGGATTGGTGTTATCTGTTTCATAAAACTCCTTTATATGGCTCCATTTACCAACACCTGTAAAAAAAATTTGTGTAAATATCCAGTAAATTGGAAATATGTATAATATTATGATTGTAATAAAACAAAATATCTTACCAAATCCAATTTGATCATTTGATGTTATATTTGTTGGACATTTAATGTCATATTTTAAAAACATATTTCTAAAGCATTTGAGCAAATGCGGAGTATCAAAAATGGTAACCACTTCTCGATTATTTAGCAGAATATATGGCTGTTCTACAGATGCTCCCAAGATACTTAAAGCTCTCTTATTCACACCATCCATATCACACACTGTAGCTGAAATATTAATTCCAGCATCAAAACAATGTTGCAGGACCTAGAAAGATAAAAGGGTAAATTAATATGGTAAAAAAGTATTACTACATATATTGACATAATAACAAATAAAAGACCATAATGCTCACCTCCTTAGAATAATAATAAGCAATTGGTTGTTTCAGCTTTTTACGGATTCCGCCAATCATGAACACGAGGGCATGTGTTGCCATTTGTGGTGACCTGCCCTGCAGTGCATGGTCTTGATAACCCTCAATTATGTCCTCCTTTTTGTTGTAAAACAAATTCTTTTTTATTGACATCTCATCAAACATAAGGATATACTCATTGTCTGAGGGAGTCTGTTGAGAGTAATTGTGTTCTGTGGGGTGGGCAAAGAGTATAGTAACTGTATTATACAGGCGGGGTGGGCAAAGAGTATAGCTCCCGATTATATTAGCTTGTCTATGGAGTATAGTAACTGTCCTATACACGGAATTATATTCCGTGGTCCTATACATGAAGGGGTGGGGTATCTAGTTGCCTGAATTTCAGTTTTTCACTGTGCAGGGTAGGTAGGCTTGGGCAAAAAATATCGATATAACAAAATATCGGTATTTTCTCATAAAAATATCGGGGTTTTGTTTGAAATCGAGTCGCCTGAATTTAAGGATTCTGTCAAGGGGGTTTATCTGAAACACACCCATGCGATTTTTGTAGCCAGAGCAGCGTCGAAGTATTTTTGATTATTTTTTAAAACTATTGGTAAATCACTAACTAAACGTGAAATGGAACGTATATTTAACTAAATTCTAACGTTTTTGATGTTGCATATCTGTCAAAGTTATCTCAAAATGCGTAAACTGAATCGCTAGGCCGGCAAAATACAGGCGACTTACTTTCATACACAACCGCGGCAATTTCGTTGACATTGACAGATATACTTTACGTCATTCCGTTGCTTCCGAGTTTACGTGAATGTGTTCCCTTACGTTTTTATTTGCCTCCTCCTGTTTTTCGATGACTTCGCTCCTTCTGGACACCGATTGCTTGTTATTTTTCGACAACTTGGCTACCCTTTTGGACACCGATTGGACTGCATCTCTGGGCGACTCATTGGACACCGATAAGCAAGCTCTGTCGGCAACCGACCGAGATTCGGAACCCGCGCCGTCTACGAGCTCAGGGTTGGGTGGAGCTGTGACTGCGAGTCGACAGTTTCTGATCACGATTTCTTCATGGATAACGAGCCGTTTAATTATCGACGTTTATATTCGGAGGAAGCGGTAAGAATGTGGAATTTATCAAAAATCATCAAACAACTTGGGAGCAATGAACAGTGTGTTGCTTTTGCTGAAGCGAATGGAATGGTGCACTCTCAAAAAATATGCCGTACTCCCATGCGACTGGCAAAATTGGATAACAAATCGTTTGGTGCTTGGATTTGCACGAAAGGCCAATGTAAGCTAAAAGGAAAAATATCACGGACAGCTGGAACATTTTTTGAAAATATTCATATTCCGTTGGTGCACGTATTTTATTTAATATATGCTTATGCTTACAAATGTATCCGTACAAGGAAAAGACGGAGCACTGTTTGGGCAGAACCACAATTGTTGATTGGTTCAGCTACTGTCGGGAATCCATAGTTATTTATTATTTGGAAAAAAATGGAGCACAGTGTGAAAATTGGAGGCCCAGGAAAAGTTGTGCAGATCGATGAATCAACATTTGAGAAACAGAACTATAACAGAGGTAATTTTAATTTATCTCGGTCTATTTATTTCCTGAAACTTCTAATTACTGTAATTTAAGCTAATTATATTTGTTGTAGGACGCCATATTGAGGGCCATTGGGTCCTTAGAATGATTGGGCATGGTTCTGAGGATTTGCGATTAGAGGTATGCCCTGACAATATACGTTCCGCTGAGGTTTGTGTGCCGTTAATTAAAAAAAACATATAGAGATAGGCACCACAATTCATACGGATTATTGGAGAGCATATGACTGCCTAGAGGAACATTGGTACACCCACAAAAAAGTAAACCACTTGGACCCTGACAATCCATTCGTGGCCCCAGATGGAACTCATACATAAAGAATAGAGTCACAATGGAGAGCCAAAAAACGTTTTTTCTAAAAAGACATTTATAATCATCCTGAGAATTTAAGTGATGCCATGGTGGAGTATCCTTTGCGCTCCGACTGCGCCCAATCAACCGGTTATTTTATTAAACAACTCCACAGTCAACGGAGTAGGGGGTTAGAGTCTCCGTAGCTGAAAGCTGTAAGGATATGTAGTTTTTCCTTAAACACATAAAAAAATAAAACGTTGCAGTAAAACCTATAAAACCTTGATGGCAAATTTAAACTTTTTGATTACTAATCACTTAGAGGTAGTGAAGAAGTGGAGTAAGGTTTTAAAGGAGAGAGTTGATCAGTGCATCTGAGTGATGAAATATACATTTATGAATTTTAGGATTAATTAGAATAAGAGAATCTAGTGCTTAACAAGACTAGCAAACTTAAGAGTGTATGAATTTGCAATGAGGGGGTCGAATGTATCTTCAAATTATTCGTGGAAATACACACACGCACTGGCGCGTCACATCTTTTCCACTGCCGTGTCAAAATCTCAATGTATGCGCATATGAACTCTTATTAAAAATGACGTAACTGCTTCGATAATCGCAAGGCATTTTATACCCTTAAGAGCTTTAAGATAATATGGTATCATCAACTGTATACTATGTAAAACTGTTGATAACTTCTCTCACAAACTTCGCAACGTATCGCTTCTAAGAGTTGTAAATAGTTTTATAAAATAAAAAAAAACGTTACATGAGGCTGTAAGCTTACAGTTTCGTTTGCCTATAAATAAGAAACAAGTTTTTAACAAAATGAAAAGGAAATGTCAATGTCATTGTCATTCTGTTCTAACTCTTACTACAGGCGGGTGTTTTTAACAATGCGGCTGCTCCGCGTTGTTTGAAAATTTCAAGTTACGTTCACTTTTTACTGAAAATTTAAATGTTTAGAACCAAGTGCTTATAATACTAGAAAGTTTTTGTTTGCGATCGCAAGAAGGGTCACATTTATAGAGTATTATAGTTAATTCTACATCTGTAAAATATACCGGTGAAACTGTGATGGTTTTGAAAAATAGGTTCTAATACACATTTTCTGTGTTAAACCTGTACTTTTAAATAATCTCTCCACTATGAATTCGCCACAAAAAGATATTGAACTGAGCCCAGTGAAATCCGAGGTGAACCAGATAAAACCTCATGTGCCGACGGAAAAATTAAATGTACCTGTGAATGATGAAGAGGACGTGATAATCGGAAGATTTCGAAAGATTAGTTCTGCGAAGTCGATGGCAGCAACTAATGGCAATATTCAGTACCCTTCAGAGACTTCGAGAAATGGTGACATTGAAGCAGGGCTACATTTTAAAAAAGATATCACAGAGCAAGACAAGCTTCTTTCCGATGTGATGACTGAAAGAACGGGTATGCTACGTTCTGATTCACCTGTCACGAAAAGCAGTTTTAGAGATGTTGAAAAACCATCACGGTTTAAGGATCATCCATCAGCTACGAGGTTTCAGGTATGTGTGTAATCAATATTTTTGGTTAGAAATTTTGTAGCACATATTTTTCCTTATAATTTTTTAAGTAAAATATCAGACGGCACTTTTTTAGTAGAGCTAACTGCACAATTTAATTTTTTTACTGTAGAAACATTGGTTTCATCTGATGGAGTGATAAGCCAACTAATTGTCTGTCAGGTGGGATGTGGGCACTAATGTATTCTGGTTGAAGGCTATGGAGAGCCGACATCATATGAGGGCATTCGAGCGGGCCTACAACATTTGTCTTTAGAGCTGACAATGCACATGTTTAAAGATATTTTTTTTATTTTTTTTAAATAAGCTTTCATACATTATCAGAAGGCCACAAAGCGCAGTCCTGAGCCATCTGCATCCATCAACTTCTTGCATGTCTTACCAGGCCCTAACTCCATCTAGTGTTCAATATTTATTTGATTTGTACCATTTAACCAGTAATAGTTATTAATAACTATACAAACCCATTCTTGGTGTTCATGGCTTGTAGTAGCTACTTAGTCATGCTATTTGCTCGTTTGTCACTTTTATGTTCCTGATGTTTCCTCTTACTTGTGGAGCTTGCATTTTGAATATACTTGTTAACTAGTTGTCATATTAAGTTGTACCTCCTAATTAAACAATGTGATTTTCTAGTCTCCTTAAAAATGTAAATTTATTTAACATAAACAATCCTTTGTATAGTTTATGTTTAACAGATTTCCAGTCTGCAAAATATACACTAAATTAAAACAATCAAAATGTTCATATAATTTGTCTAATGGTACAGGAAAAGGGTTGATTATTTCAGTAGTGGATGTTTCTGATACCTATGCATTACTAAAAGAAAAGTACTCCATGACTTTGAACCAATTTTTCCCCAGATATGGAATATGGAAGTAGTTCTAACTTGCTCTTATTTTTAACTACTAGTTATTATCATTACAATATTACCTTTAACCACTCCTCATAAGCTTAAAATGCTTGTGTTGGGAGTGGTTCAGGACAGTAGTCGAATGGCGGATTCAAACCCACAATCTTTTGAGTTCGCAGTCCGCATCCTGCCATTAGGCTACTGTTGTTGTGCCGAAAATGAATAATTAAGACATGAATGTCACCTGGGTTTTAATTTAAGTTTTTTTATGAGCATTACATCCAAATATCTGGAACTAAAAAGGATCTTAACGACAAAATCAATTTAATTAGTTTTATTCATAAGTGATTATAAGTGATCTTAATAATTTAGCTCAGGTCACACAATTCAACTGTTTTTGTTGGTGTATTACCTTAAAACTTTTTTCTAGGTGAATACATTTTGATGATTCTTTTGTTATTTGAAAGCTGGTGCTTCTTATGTGGTCCCATATAAATTTAATAAAGATCTGACCAGTAGTTTTTGAGTTAGCCGTAATAATGCATAATGCTATTTTCATAGATAGATTGAAATATGAAGTGACAGTAGCCCAATAGATAAGGATATGGACTTCCAAAATCAATAGTTGTGTTTTCATATCTGCCATTCAACCACTGTTGTGATCCACTTCTTGCAAAAATATTTAAAAGTTTAGTTTGAGTGGTACTGCTGTTTACACTTCCAGTACTTATTACTTATTTATTAAAAAGCAATGTATGTACATCATTAATAAAAATATTAATTAGTTCTCTCCAATAACAGCCTGCCTTTAATTGCGCAAGGACAAACATCAAGACATGGAACAATTATTTGTAGGCCATACAAATACTTGTTCCGTGCGGTGATTCGAACCCGCGGCCCTTAGCGCTGCAACTCTATTGGTAAGCCACTGCGCCACGGAGCTAATATGATATTAATTATTGGTGTAACTGACTAAAATTTTACGAAAGAAAAACCGCCATGCACGGCGTGCGGGTGTACGCCACACTGAACGGAAATTCTGAAGGAATGCTAATATATTTTATTGCATTTAATGGGGAGAAGGAAACAGTAACCCTTCGATCCTTCGTTGATCTATCCAGAGGTCACCATTTTCTACAGCACCATGGTCTACAGCATATACATACAGAGCTAAATTATTTTGTCGCGCCTTTGTTGTCTATATTATCTCAATTATTTTCTGTACATCTTCGAGACTTAAAATAGATCGATAATATCCATAAAATTCCTACCCTCACGCAAAATACGCGCTTGTCGCTGAATTACGGCCCATTGCAAACTACAACTAGAACTAACATTATATATTATGTAAGATAGAAATAAATAACTTGTATATTTTGTACTCATAGAAGTATATTCGATTGCAACAACGAGTATGCATTCAATATGAAGTGCTGCCACAGCTAGGGTTACCATATCTCAGGATTTGTCCTGAGATTTCAGGATTTTTAGACTCTTCTCAGGATTGCGGCTGGATTTTGCAAATCTCATGAAATCTCAAGATTTTTAGAACTTTCAATACAATACAGCTTACATTTTAAAGATCTCTTTAATAAAAAGTTAAGCAAACTAACAATAATCTTCCTTTGGTAATAATTGCACAATTAAAATCAAAACTTATTTATCCAAGTAGGTACTTAAACAGTTTTATTATACTTAATATGTGAAGATACCTTTTTAAGTAAGGTTTTCTTCTCAAACTGTAAAAAAATCTCAGGATTTTTAAATGGAAATCAGGCCTTTTCTCCGGACTTTTACTTTTTTCATCTGGTAACCCTAGCCACAGCGAAACATTTTGTCGGCCCCTTTGATGCCCCCTACGTCTTCTCCATAGGTACCGTAAGAATCGCGTAGTATATAGTCTATCATCATAATTACTCCGTAAAGCATAAAAGTTCAAGTGCTAGATTTGGGTATTCAAATTGGGCGGCAAAAGTCATTACTTTTGTATTACCATGAGAAAAATTAATCACAGAGGTAGTTAGAATTAGAACCGTAGTTAGGATTAAAGCCGTAGCCAATATTGGTGCAAAACAAACGTTTTTTTTTAAATCATCGGATTGGTTGCGGCCGTGACGTTGTTTCCGTCATCAAGTTGATCTTGTCGTAACCTGTACATCGGATACGGGTAGGTTGGAACGAATGAGCATTTATATGTACACATGCGGTAGGTAGCTACTTCAATATGGCCTGCAAAGCTATGAATAAGTACTATCCCAACCGATAGCAAGTGGAAATATAGCCGAAGATGATGAACTACTTAACGAACTGACTTAACTTAAACAACAACAACAACAAATAAACTTAAACGTAATTCCTATGCATCCCCTTTACCTATGTATAATGTAGATTACACAAAAGCTGGCCACTCTGCGTATGTGCTCGAGGCTAGCAAGATTTTCGCCTATAGATGGGCGTTGGTTAGAAATGTTGTTACTTGAAATCGGCCGAGGTCATCAATCATTAGCAATCGAAATCAGTTCATCAACCTTCCGGTATATGTCCCAAGCTGTTTCGTAAGCAAAGTTTCGGATAGGCAAGCTTTGCACTATTTATATTGTATTGGATGTTATTATTTAAGTGAGAAACTATTTTAATACATTTTACAAAATGATTGGTGTGCTTAATTTTAACACGCGTATGTAGTCTAATAGTTATTGTTACGTGGTAGAGCCATGTTGCAGCAATATTATGGTTGTAACACTAATGGGTCGGCTCGATTGGGGTAGGACCACGCTCTCACAATACCAACGAGAAATAGCAGCATTAACTGCTGTCTCTTATGGTGCGTAGAAAACTGGAGATGCTTTTTACTGGAAACGAGGCATTCCATCTTAGTCCTCAGGGGTAACAACGCATGTGTGTTGAGTTCTTAATTGATGATAAATGTAGATGTCTATGGGCCACAGCATCCACTTACCATCAGGCGACTCTTTTCTCATTAGTCTTTACACTGTTAAGTTATTGCTATGGAGGGTAAAGGTAAGGAGGACCATCTCAGTGTATCATCAATAAAAAATACATCGATCACTAATAAAAAACTAGGTACACAATCCCATGCAAAAGTTTTCTAAAGCCCGCTTTTCACTATGGGATATAATATAATATATATTACATCTCGAGATATAAATTAATATCGCTCACCATACATTTCATATGGAACCGTTTAAACTGAGCTATAATATATATTACATCTCAAGCTATAAATATTTTTTCGATCGACCGAGCGATATTTTCATATTATATTTCGCCCCCTGTACCCCGCACACCGTTCCGCGCCCCCGCTGAACGGTGTACGGGGTAAAGGGGGGTAATCCAGTGACCAATGACGAACGCACACTGGTTAAAAGATATATCTCACAGTGTGAAAGCCATTCCGGGATATAATATATATTATATCCCATAGTGAAAAGCCAGCCTATAAACTGTCGCCAATTAAAAAAAAAATGTTTTGACGTAATTTTAGTTGTTATAAATATTCTTTTATGTAAATTCAACCTTAAATGCATAGCTTAAAATTGTATTCACAAAGCTACATACAAACAAAGCGCACCCAAATGTTCGAATGGGCGCTCATTAGGTAAGGACATTCTTTGTCACTGATTGTGTATGTAGTTTTTTTTATTAGTGATCGATGTTAGAAGAGGATATATTTGAAGATAAAAAAAATAATATTGTTCAATTATTTTTTTAAACTTTATAACAGTAAAGACAATAAAATCACTAAAAAATATTATCAAAAGCTTAAAAAAATGTCACTCTCCCTGTTATCTTAGTACTTTCATAGGATTTTCTGCTTTATCATGGAGGCAGTATACACACATAAATTGCACGAGGACAAATATCCAGATCCGGAACAATTATCTGTAGGCCATACAATTATTTGTTCCGTGCGGGATTCGAACCCGCGATCCCCAGCGCAACAACTCATTGCTAAGCCACTGCGCCACGGAGCCGTCTACAACTGCGTAAATAGTTGACTTTTTTATAGGAGGGGGCAAACGATCATGCGGCTCACCTAATGGTAAGTGATTATCGCCGCCCATGAACAACTGCAACACCAGGGGAACTAGGGGAATTGCAGATGCGT